TATAAAAAAAAAATAAAAAATAAGAGTCTCAGTGTTCAAATTAATCCGCAACATGTGTCATGAACTATGACTATTGTTAGATTCATAAATTTAGCCGATTTATTTATGTGAAAAAGGAGATGGCCACAGAGGAATATAGGAATTCAGGATCTTCATTGAAATTCCCATGGGATGGACTTGGGCGGTGAGTTGACTTGTGATGTGTGCCTCCATAGAGAAGTAATTTATACATATAAAATAAGGCAGAGGTGGCTCCATAGCCACGACATTTTTATTTTGAATGGCCAAGTCTTTTCCTAAGGTGTTTGTCTTGGTCTGGTAATCCATCCAAAATCCTATCCTATTATTATAATTATATAAAAAAAACTAATTCTCAAAACCTGTCTCCCAAAACAATGTGAACGGCAACAATGTATTCTCCTATTTTTTCCAGGTTTGGCGGGGAAGGGAGAGACGAAGAAAAATAGGAATTGACCACCGGAGACATGTTGCTTGCTTGCCGCCAACATGAGCCATGATGAAGGGAGAACCGGATGCCAGGATTCGATCCCCACATAAAAAACAATCATGAACAGAGCTGGGAAGAAGCTGCATGCGCTGCTTGAACGGGCGTGCTTCTTCATTTGCTGGTGATCCCTAGTCACAAAATTTTTTTAATTCCATCTTCAGCAACTCTTCAATTTTTAATCTGGTTTCTAATTATTTGATAGCTATTCAATTCAATCCCAGATCATATAAGGCCCGACAAATTAAGAAAAAAAAACAAAAAATGAAGGGAAATGAAAGAGATGGTCGGACAAATTAGGTTAATTCATTATGTCTATGTTCCAACTCATATTATAAATTTAGCAAGTTAATTTAGATTAATCATGATCAGTCCAACATGATATCTTCTTTTCATTTCGGTTCATGAACATTTTTATTTTTGTTTTATTTCTTTACAATTCATTATAATGCTTGGGCTTATTTGATCAAAGGAGCAGCATCAAAGCTAATTTCAACATGATTGGAGTTAAAACCCAGTGGATCAAGAGACCACGATATAATGTAATATATAACGTAAGATAGATAAATAAAAAGCAAAGGAACCATGATCACAAGTTATTTTGTTTTAATTTAATTTTTATTTTTTTATTTCTTCATATAAAATATTGACATATAATTAATGACAGGACACGTTACGAGATCATATTTTTTTTAATCTAAATTCATTGCTTAGCTTCATGGCCCAATTTTATTTATTGTTAATGATTTCTCAGCATCTATTAAAGAAATTGCTGATCAATTAATTAATTTTACCGAACACGCTAATCAAAATTTTAATATGCATTTGAGATTTTTCATCGTTATCAAAAGACTTAACTCCATCCACATGTCTTTTTTTCCCGATTGGAAAGACTTTAATCCTTTCCCTTTCTCCGAACAGACCATCCACCACCTTCGCCTTCTCCTTCAAAATTTCCCTTTTCCTTCATCATCACCAATCTTAATCACAGCCGCTACAAGTCAAAATGGGTTTTCACCATTGATGCTCTTTCGAGCTCAAAATAACAACAACAGACTAAGCTAGCTTCAATGAATTCATAGACAGACGAAGAGAAGCTAAATAGTTGGTTTCTTTTGTTCAATCTGCTCTAAGAAGTGAATTAGATGTCGTTGACGGACGACGGTGACTAGAGACCAGAAATGCTATCTTTCCCGCGTCCCTGTTCATGTAGCTGGGAGGTTTTGATTTGTTTATTTCGGGATTGTTAAAATAAACTTTAAACATACAGAATTATACATTGGTATTTAATTTTTTAAAATAAACTTTATCCGTTACGAGGTAAAATCCCTCGAATTGCTCGATGAATAAAATACACAGGATGGAAGAAAACAATCGGTATGAATAGTGTGTTTTTGTAAAAATATTAAAAATACTTTAACGCAAACACAAAATATTTGTTCAATTTAAATAAAAAAAATGTTTTATTCAAATTATACATGCACTCGGAGAATGACCTCTCATGCTTTATTAACAGCCGAACGCCCTACTCTATAGCTGCTGGGATACGGGGACTTGGACTTTACTGGATGAAAAAGATGTCACCTGCCCAAGAAGACAAGCCCTTATTCTAAATGCTTCCAAAAACAGAAAAGGCTCGAATATTTGGTTACATGTTATAATTTTATAATAAGGCGTCCATGTTCTACGGTGTAAAAATCATCGGACACTTCCACTGCACTGGTCAATGACCATCCACTCCGATAAAAAACAAGATCGAACACGATTAGCAGCGTTCCGATAATGCGGTGGAGGAATTCTTACCAAAGTTTGTTTGGATCGAAAAAACATGTGGCGATTTTTTAGTATCTTTAAAATTATGTATAAAATATTAAGGTGATTTTTTTAATCTAAATATAGATTAAAAAGTTGTTTACAAATATATAAAATGCACTTATTATTTTTTTATTATTAATGTAAATATTTAATTAGGGTATACGTACATGTATTTTAAAATTCAATTAATTACATGTATTTTAAAATTAATAATTATATAAATATTTCAGAGTTTTTACAAGGGATCAAACTTATGATTATTTGGGACATAAACATAAATACTTAGGTCATGTGAGCATTTTGATTAATTTTACAAGCTTTAAAATTAATAATTATACAAGTCCTTATTGATCTTGAGAGGATTCTAACTCTTGATCATTGATGACAAGTGTTTCATGAGAGTTACATTATTTTTATTTTTATGTGAGTTTAAGGCATTGTTTATAGTTTCAAATAACGCTATATTAAAATTAAATTTTTAGATGGTTTGAATATGTAAAATAAAAAATAATTTTATAAAAATAAAAAAATATTATTTAAATATATATTATAAATAATAAATATTTTAAAAAACATCCACCACAAAATAAAATTACCGTTAAACTCATCTCCAATATGAACTGATATGTCCTTTTTTAACTCCGAACTCAAGGAACAAGTGATTTCCGGCGTATATAACACAAAGAGACGGTGTTCTCCCGCTGACTTTTAGAACTCTTTGATCGTTCATTTTTTGCTGGTGCCTTGAACTTCGTCGCTGTCTTCCGGGCAACCCGTTGTATATTTGAAAGCTTGTTTTGATAAAGATTTTTCAAGCAACACACACACATGGTGTTACCTTGACCTAGAAGACAGAAATTTGAAGTTCCTAGATTCAGGCAACCCAAACAGTAGCCTTTAAGCATTTTTCTCATAAACACTGTATGCGGTGAAAGGGGGGACCCTCCCCTTAAATTTCCTATTTTTTTCCTCCTATAAACAGTGTTAATTACTACGTCCGGTGTCACTGCCTGCTCCGGTGACTTTTTTTGTTCTTTTTCAAAGGAGCAGAAATAACCTTCACGGATATATGAATATAGGCAAAAGGCCCATGGGTACAAAGGAAAGGCCAGAGTCCCCATGAGAGTGGAGCCTGTCGAAACCTATTTTACACTGCTGATCTTGAAAAAACATCATTATCAGCAAGTTATGGAGTAAGTAAGATCATAGAAGGACAGAAATAAAAACTATCACGCTTTATTAATAATCTCAAATTTAGTGGATGTCAATATTGTGAAGCATGTTAATATTGGATTGCCTTCGTTTGATAATTTTATAATAATAAACAGTAAAGAAGGGCAAGGAGCTAAATTTCTGCTTGGTCGAAATTGGCGGGCCTTGTCCAAAATCCATCAATAAGCCCACCCATTACATCTCTTGATTCTGCAATAATAATAATAATAATAATAATCATAATAATAATAATAACAATAACAATAAAAGAAGCAGCAGCATTTTTCCAATTTTTGATGGAGAAAGCGTTCCAAAAAAAAAAAAACAAAAAAAACAAAAACAGGAAAAGAAGGCTAGGAGATGTTATTGACAAGACTCGCCTCCTGTACTGTCCACTGGCTCTTTACCATGGCCTCGAAACCTAAACCTCATCTTCTCCATAAAGGTATCTAATTGCAATTTACTTCTTTTTTTTTTGAGAAATTGCCAGTAAAGAAAGAAAAAACCCTAGCACAAAAATGAATGACTGAATGGAACACTAATCACTCAGTTGCAGGGGGGGCGGCGGCGTTACAGAGCTCAGCGAAGAGAGCGAGGACAATGAGCAGCACTTCAGAGTCTTCTTCTTCCTCCTTTAAGGACGCGTTTGGAAATTACGCTAATTATCTCAATAACCTTGTAAATAATTATTTCCTTCTCTCTGTTTTTTTTCCCATTTTATTTTAATTATCATGTTTCAATTTTAAGAAAATATGCAATTTTTTCTGTTTATTATATAATACGTGAAGGAATGGTTATTTTTCATTAAAAAAATAGCTATTTTTATATTCGAGATTGCTCTTTCAAATCCGTCGGTATGGATATGGGTCTGTTCAGGTCGAGTCGGTTCCATGAGATGCATTCTCTGATTTCATTATCAAACACTGTGTCAGGGCAGCTTCATTTTTGTTAAGATGACTACTACAATTTGCATGAGTGGATCGTGGATAACTATCTTGTATTGTTGACTTCCTCTGATTGTGCGTCAAATTTAGTGGTTCGATACATTTTCTTGCTGTTAAATTATTGAAGCTTCCGTAATACTTGACTGAAATCATGTATGCTTGTAGAATGATAAACGCGAAAGAGTGGTAAAAGCGAGCCGGGATATCACCATGAACAGCAAAAAGGTCATATTTCAAGTTCATAGGTAACGTCTTTGGATATTTGGTTTTCCTTTTCATAATAGCTTTTGACCTTCCTGGTGTGATTGAGTCATTTTTCTGGGTCATATGATATCAGTTGAACTTCACTTTAGGACACTCTCCAAATTCTTGATTTTGTGATTCAACTGGACTGTAAACGTTGCATTCCTCATGTAATAATAGAATCAGTAAGGACAACAGAGATGAAGTTCTTGACAAGGCAGAAAAGGATTTAGCTTCTGTGACAGAGCAATATATGTTCAAGTTGGTGAAAGAACTGCAAGGGACGGATTTCTGGAAGCTAAGACGAGCGTACTCTCCTGGGGTTGTATATTTTTCCCTGTCCCTATTGAGGCCAGATGTCCAGTAGTGTATTGGCTCATTATGCCTGGTGTCTTTGCAGGTACAGGAATACGTTGAAGCCGCAACATTCTGTAAATTCTGCAGAACTGGGACTCTTTTAAATCTGGATGAAATAAATGCTACTCTGTTGCCGCTAAGTGAACCATCTGTTGAGCCTTTGCAAATAAATGTCCTTGACTATTTGCTGGGGGTAATTGCTTGAACTATATCCTAATTCACGACATTCTGTCTTGTAACATGAAATTGTGAGCGGTTAAGTGATAGCGCCAATATGAAATCAATCACTTGAAGGGTGTAGCAATTTATATTATGCACAGTAACTTGTGATCCAATGTCATTTTATCTTCTAAGCAAGCTGCTCACACTTCCAGCACTAAAAAACAAATCTGTGTTGACAAAATATACTAGCATATACATGATTACCAAAACACTCCCAAGGGGTTCTACTCTTTCAATAACATGATTGTGTGCGCGTGCTTTGGAAGAGGTGCTTATTCTGCTGGCACAGCTTGCAGATTTGACTGGGGAGCTGATGCGATTGGCGATTGGGCGAATATCAGATGGTGAGCTTGAATATGCCAAGAAGATATGTGAGTTTGTTCGTGATATCTACAGGGAGCTGACCCTTATTGTCCCATATATGGATGATAGTTCTGACATGAAAACAAAGATGGATACAATGCTCCAAAGCGTGGTGAAAATAGAAAACGGTATTTGATTCAAATTTGCTTGCCCATAATTGTGAAAAGTGATTAATCATATCTCACTTTACAAGTGCACATGTATAGAAGATGTTAACTCGTTGAAGCAGTATCACATCTGAATTCCATATATTGATATATTGTGAATAGAATTAGGCTAAATGGAAAATTACTAATCAAAGTATAGTGTTCTAAGTCTGATAAAATTTTGATTTTAAACCTGAGCAGTATTTATATTGGTGTTTGCCTGCTTATCTTCAGTTCATTGACGATATAACAATGGCATGATTTTCCAAGTAAATGGCGGTACAATTTTGCATGATACATCTTTCATCCTTTTCAATCAATGCCATTTTTTTTCTGCATTGTTTAGACATTTATTCAAACTTCTAATAAAGTGACATGTTATAACTAATAATTTGATGCCTGTATAGAGGTAAAAAGCCATGAACGAGTCTGTTTAATTTCCTAGAGTAAGTGAAGGAAACAGGATTTTGTGGAGGTATCTTGTATATATCCTCTTCCATTTTAGCATGTTCTGAAATTAAACAATAGTTTATTGGTATTTACACCTATTATCTTGCGTGAGAATATGGTATCAGGCTGTTAAATTTTTTTCAATTGAGCTAGAAAATAGCAGAGAAGACTTTGCCTCAGTATGTTTCTATCCAAGTTTTACTGCATCTTTTAATTGTGTTATTGTTGCAGCTTGCTTTGGTGTCCATGTGAGAGGATCTGAATATACCCCGCTGGTGGGATCCAGTGAGCCAAGTTCTTTTTTGTTGAGGGTATCTGATGTCGAAATATAAAGTATTTTCTTCTCTGAGATACTTTTTTCTCTTTTTACTACCTACGGTACCTTTTTTTTGGTTAATTTTATGCTAGTTGCATTAGAGTTTTCCCTGAGGCAGGGCAGTCTCTTTGTCCAGTAATGCTTAGAAGAGATGTGTTTTTTTTCCTTGCCAATGGAAGTATTTTGAATCACTTAAGGGGGCAAGATTTGTCCACATGACTTCCTTCCCTGCCTTGCAAATCGTCGTCCTAGGAAATCTAGTTTGTTCATATGCTGCAATATTTGTGATAGACAGTCATGGTGTTGCAAAGAGGCAGACATAATTAGCTGGACCTTAAGGGAAATAGTTCCTTGAAGAGTTTGAAAGGAGCTGCAAGTAAGTGTGCTACTAATGGTTGAATTTGAAGCAATGAAATCCTTCCAAAGATCAAATGACAGGATGCTTGAATGAGAATTTTGAAACGCTCCCTTTCTGCTTATCCCAGAGTTTGCCAATTGTGTAAGATCATGTAAATCTTGGTAATTTTACATTGTGAACTTGTAAATCTTGGCAGGCAGCAGCTTTTCAAATAGGAAGAGCTTGCCCTGGTTTACTTGTTAAACATATTATTTTATGCACAATCACTCTGGGCTTTTGACTATAATTGTCAATCTTAAGTGAACTTTGCATCTTTAAAAGATCAATGTGCCTAGAATAAACCATAGGATTCCCTTTATCGCATTGATCAAGTCACTTAGGATCCAATCATGTGTTCTTTTTCTAAAGCCGTAAGGGCACTTTCTACAGCGATAAAGGGCACTTCGTTTATTAGAGGAGACCATTCATTGTCAATTACACCTGTAGGTCGAGGATCAGTATATGGCTAGGACCACCTGCACTGTGCCAATACCAGACGATCACGTTACCAGACGATCACAAAGATATCTGACAGGATCGACGTGAAAGTGGACCTGAACTTTATATGAATTATCATGGTGTGTTTGTAAGGTGTGGTCCCGACATGTATTGCGATTTCTTAGGGTGTGGACGAGGGTGAACTATGAGAAGTGAAGGATTGGTTGTTCACTTGGTTAAGTAAGGAGAATGATACATATCCAAAACTTCTAATCTTTTTTACTATTTAGGTATAGTGGCTCCCATCATTTCCTTCCTTTATAATTTTATATGCTCTTGATTTAGGTGGTTTGACGCTCTAGAAAAAAAAAAAGACAGGTTATCCATCATTTATCTTGCCTTTTATCGACCGTATTTTTATGAACACAGCCTTAAAAGTACCTCATAGAGGGTGCCGATGAGAGATGTTAACTTTCTGTTTGGCCGGAGGATAACTGTAGTTCAAACAGCTACGAGAATACTTAATTACAGTACTGTCATTGCTCTTTGCAAGCAAAGGGGCTTCGTAGTAATTGACTGGAATCGTCCTACTAATTTCTCGACTTTGCTGCAATATTTGTGATAGACAGTCATGGTGCTGCAAAGAGGCAGACATAATTTGCTACACCTTAAGGGAAATAGTTCCTTGAAGGGTTTGAAAGGAGCTGCAAGTAACCGTGCTGCTAATGCTTGAATTTGAAGCAATGAAATCCTTCCAAAGATCAAACGACACGGTGCTTGAATGATAATTTTGAAACGCTCCCTTTCTGTTTATCCCAGAGTTTGCCAATTGTGCAAGATCGTGTAAATCTTGGTAATTTTACATTGCGAACTTGTAAATCTTGGTAGGCAACTTCGGATCCAATCATGTGTTCTTTTTCTAAAGCCATAAGGACTCTTTCTACAGCCATAAAGGGCACTTCGTTTATGAGTGTAGGCCATTCGTTGTCAATTAGAGTATCTTGGATAGCAAAAAAATAAAAAATTAAGGCCTCTTTCTCCAGCCATAAAGGGCACTTCGTTTATGAGTGTAGGCCATTCGTTGTCAATTAGAGTATCTTGGATAGTAAAAAAATAAAAAATTAATATTTTGATTTTTTTTTTTATTTTTTTTGGATATTTTAAAGGGAAGTTAAATAAAATATTAAAATATCTTTTTCATTCTACAAATATTATTTTTATATATATTTTTAAAAAGTCAAAATTAATAAAGTAAACCACTAAAACCGTAGAACAAATAAATATAAATACGTGAAAAAAAATAACATTAAACATATTAAAAAATAATAAAATATTTTTTTTATTTTAATATAAATAGCTCTTTAGATAAATTTTTTTATTAAAATAAATATAGTAAAATAAGCTATATTTATATTATTTAAAATATTATTTTATTAATTTAATTTTTTAAAATATCTTTTTAAATTGTACATGCGCCTAGAGAGCAACTATGCTAGCTAGTGGCTGTCGCTTCCTCAATACCAGCACCCGCTTCCTCACATTAAGATGGGAAAAAGAAGGCTATCTAAACGTCAAGAGTTGGTGGCAGCTGGCACATGTTCACCTCTCCCTTGCCTGCTTCTGTACATTTGTATATATTATTTTGTTATTTATTTATTTATCATCATATCATTGAAAATGTGAGGTTGGTTTTTACAAGTCTATATATTGGTAATGGGAATGATCTAAGAATCAACTTGAATATATTTCCCTTTGAAAATATAGTACTCAACCCCATAAATCTCAAAGCACTTCTTCTCGAGCTACAATGCCTTGTCCCGAGCAATCTCTTTCTCTTCCCGGATACTTGCAAGAAAATGAAACCTCCCAAGAATTTAAAGACTTGATCGTCTCCTTGCCCACTGAGAAAGGCTGGATGGCAAAACATCTCCATCAATACCAAGGTTTTTGGCACACAACTAGGCAACTTCAAGGGGTTCTAGCTTGCCAAAAACACTTTCAAGCCCAAGATGGCGATATCTTTCTAGTCACCACTCCTAAATCAGGCTCTACTTGGTTAAAGGCAGTGATGTTTGCCTTGGTGAATCGGGTTTCCTTTCCTGACACTAAACAACACCCTTTGCTCACTAACAACCCTCATGCTCTTATGCCTTTCTTGGAGATGGAATACATTGGTAAAGAGACTCTTGACTTCACCAACTTCACTTTTCCTAGGCTGTTTTCAACTCATCTCCCACTCTTGTCACTTCCTAGATCTGTGGAGGACTCTGATTGCAAGCTTGTTTACTTGTGCAGGAATCCTAAGGACATTTTCGTGTCCCTTTGGCACTTCACTAACAAATTGAGACCCATTGATTGGGTTCCTAGTTCACTTGAAGAAACCTTTGATAAGTTCTGCAGGGGAGTGAGTTTGTATGGGCCATTTTGGGACCACGTTTTGGGTTATTGGAAAGAGAGTTTGGAAAGGCCTCGTAGGGTATTTTTCTTAAAGTACGAGGAAATGAAAAATGAGCCCAGGATTCAATTAAGGAGACTGTCTGAATTCCTGGGGTGTCCATTTTCCCTTGAAGAAGAGAATAGCGGTGTCTTGGATGAAATCTTGGAGCTGTGTAGTTTTGAAAACCTGAGCAATTTAGAAGTGAATAATATCGGAAGGCTGCATTCCGGAGAGGAGCATCAAGCCTTTTTTCGCCGAGGCGAAGTTGGTGATTCCATGAATTATCTCACGGCCGAGATGGTGGAAAAAATTGACATGATCACTGAGCAGAAGTTGCATTGTCACGGTTTAAAGTTCTAGTTCGCACGAAGACCGCACCATCTTTCTTTACTGTTTATCAGCATGCATCTTTTGTTGTTAAGCCGAGGTCATCATCTAGGCCATTTATCATATGTTGCAGTAGTATTGTCAATCAAAACTGTCGGCAATAATGGCATGGGCATTGCACCCTGCAGTACCGATGAGGGAAGTGCGAGCACCGTGCAGATCTACATGCTTACACACGATATTCTAGTGTGTTAATATATTTGATTTGTTGGTTGCTACGTCACCAAACTTATTAACGTATCTCTAGTGAGTTTCCTGCCATTGCTCTATGCTTTGTAATCTTGCTTGTTTCCAATTATTTTTATGACCCAGTTTGCGTTGGTTACTACAATTTCTTGGTGTAAAATGGACGCTCCTTTAAATGACAAGTTTATCGCTAAAGGGGGTATTTTAGAATTCTAATGTGTTTTCATGAAAATCTTAGAAAAAAAATCTATATTAATTTTTTTAATAAATAACACAGTTTAAACACATCTTTTATTAAAAATAATGGTTGAACATAATTGTTGTTTAGAATAATAGTTCCTATGAAAACTATATATTTCTCAATTTAATTAACATATGAAAAATAAATCTAAAATTTTATGAATATCCAGTGATCAAAGTGTGTTTCTAGTGATTTTTTTTCTTAAACATTTGATTTTTAATCTTACCAGTTGGTTATTGAATCTTTATAAATTATTTGATTGATTTTTGTTTAGATTAATTAATTTGTAAGATGAAAATGTTCTTAAATATTCACTAAATAACAGTTATTTTAAATAATAATTCTGTAAAAAAACATATTTGAGAGGTAATTACTATTCCAAATAGCATTTATATATAAAAATAATATTTTAAACATCTTCATGTTCAAACCATAGTATTTTTCAAATATTTTTTTAACATGTTTTTGTTTTTTCCTATAACCTTCAGCAAGCTATTCTATTTCTGGGGGAAAAAAATCCCCTATCAGGCGTCCCGTTATGTGTGTGCGTTTATATATAGTCACTCATAAATTGAAATGTTTGGTGACTCGTGAATTTGGAAAATATAACAATGTACTAGTTCAATCTCTGACTGCATTGATTATTAATACGTCAATGATTAGGAACTCCGTTCCAAGATAATAATATTATTATTATTAATAATAATAATAATAAAGGGAAGATAAGTCTACTTTTCAGGTGATTTTGTCAATTTGTGCTCAAAGTTGGAAGTTGATGCTCCACCATTTAAAGGTGTTTATAGTGTATTCTTTTTTTTGAATATCTATTTTATTATATATTTTTTTAACTTAATCTTTCTACTTTGTAATGAATTTAGAGTTAAGAATTTATTTTTTATATGGTTATTGTAGTATAAGAAAATATTTTAGTATTGAGTTGATATTAAAAAAATATCATATCAATACAATATTTTTTATGATAAAATATAGTTAAATAAAAAATAATTTCAAAAAAATTAGTTTATTAATTGCCCAATTTAAGAATTTAACAAGATTAGCTTGTATGTGTCAGCTTGGAGATTTAACGAGATATTTTTTTAATAAAACTTAATTATGTGATAATTTATTTTTTATTAGTTAAAAAATAATTTTAAAAAAATACATTATTAAATTTTAAAAAGTTTATCACCAGTTCATTGGTTTGAAGGGTTTAATGTTTTTTATAATTCTATCAAATAAAAAATTAAATTTTATAATTAAATTAAATTTATTTTCTCGGCATTGTACGCTACAGTACCGATGAGGGAAGCGTGAGCGCCGAGCAGATCATGTCTTTATCAAGGTAGCTTACACGTGATATTATGAGGTGTTAGTATATTTGATTTGTCGATTGCTACGTCACCAAACTTATTAATGTATCCCCAGTGAGCATCCTGTAATTGCTTCATGCTTTGTAGTCTTGCGTGTCTACAGTTGTTCTTATGAACCCATATTGTGTTGGTTCCTACAATTTCTTGGTGTAGAGGATGGACGATCCTTTAAATGACAAGTTTATCACGAAAAAGGGGTGTTTTAGAATTCTAACTCATTTTCATAAAAGTTTTAGAGAAGAAACAAGTGTTATAAAAATTTAAAAATAATAACATAGTTTAAACAGAGCATTTATTAAAATTATTTTGTAGAGAAATATATTTTGAATTACTTTTAATAATATTTTTGTGGAGAAAATACTCTAGCCTTCTTGACTCCTCGATAATATTTGTGTAGAGAAATATATTTTGAATTATTTCCAATAATATTTATGTACAGGAATAATATTCTAAAATATGAACAGTGTTTAAACTATATTATTTTTTAATATGTATTATTTTCCGGGAATTTTAGCATACTATTTTATTTTTAAAATAAAAAATCCCCTATCAGGTGTCCTGGTATGTGTGTGTGTGTGTTTATATATAGTCACTCATTTCGCAGAGGAAAATGAATAATTACAATCCTAAGTTAAGGTTATTGATTATACATGATGGGCAACACTGATGGTTAGGTATGTAATTACTCGTCGGCAACATAAATTGAAATATTCGGTGACTCGTGAACTTGAAATGTTCAATCTCTTAGTGAATTGATAATGATTAGGAACTCCGTTCCGAAATAATAATAATAATAATAATAATAAAGTAAGGGAAAGTTTACTCTTTCGGTGATTTTGTCGATTTGTGCTCTATTATTAATAATAATAATAATAATAAAAGGAAAGATAAGTCTACTTTTCAGTGATTTTGTCGATTTGTGCTCTATTATTTATTATTATTGTTATTGTTATTGTCAAGTATGAAATGTAAAGCTAAAAGTTGATATCAAATTATTTAGATAGTGTTTCGTAACGTGGTTTAACATATATTTTTAAAAATTTTAATTTTTTTTATTAAAATTTAATATAATTTATATATTTTAAATTGTTTTGATGTGCTAATATTAAAAATGCTTTTTAAAACATAAAAAAAATTATTAACATATATTTCAATAAAAAAAATTATTTGAAAAATAATAGTCACCACGCTATCAAATATATTTTTAATGAATAACTAGATAGCAACCAGGCATCCCACATGTTGCTATCTTGTGTCATGTTATTTATTATTATAAATTTAAATAAAAATAAAAATAATTATATAGAAAAACTACTATAATTCATAATATTTTTGTAAAATAAAATATAAAATTAAATTTTTAACCAAATTAATATTTAAAAAATTAAATTAACAAAAAAAACTAAAAGAAAAAAATATGCAAGGAAACATTGTAGCAATTTACAGTGTTTCATGAAAAAATCTATAATTGTAATTCTCAACTAAATAAATATTAAAAATAATAAAATTAAAAAAAATAATTTTGAAAAAAAATCAACAAAAAATCATGTAGGAAAACATTGTAGCAATCATAGTGTTTTTAAGAAAAAAAACTACAAAGCTAAATTCTCAACCAGTTCAATGTGAAAAAAATAAAATCAACAAAAATAATTCTAAAAAAAATAATAAAAAAAGAAAAAAAAATGTATGAAAATATTATAGCAATCAACAGTTTTTTAAAGAAAAAAAACTACAAAGCTAAATTTTCAACCAGCTTTATATTTAAAAAATAAAATTAACAAAAAAATTCTGAAAAAAAACACAATTTTTTTTTAAAAAGAAGAAGACCATTTTGAAAAAAAAAAAAACAAAAAAAACATAGGAGAAATTAAAGCTAAATTCTCAATCAGCTCAATATTAAAAAAAAACTTGATAAAAATAATATGAAAATACTATAACAAAACAAGAACAATGTGGGAAAATATTATAACAATCTACAATATTTAAAAAAAAAACTACAAATCAAAATCGACAAAGATCATTTTGGATATGAAGGGAAGAAAAAAAATTCATAAAAAAATCATGTGGAAAAACATTATAGTAATCCATAATGTTTTTTTAAAAAAACCTACAATACTAAATTTTCAACTAATTCAATATTAAAAAAAATAAAGTCTAAAAAAAAATAAGAAGAAAAAAATGAATAGATAAAAAAAAAAGCATGTGGCGTGGGGAGACTGCAGTACTTCCTCTCGTCTTTTAGAAAAAAATTCATTAAAAAAAATTATATTAAAAAATATTATAGCAATTCATAATGTTTTGAAGACAAAAATAACATAACTAAATTTTTAACTAATTCAATATTAAAAAAATAATAAAAATAATTTTAAAAAACAAAAAAAAAAAAGGAAGAAGAAGAAGAAGAAGCAATCTTGGGGAAAAAAATGTAAAGCTAAAAAATACAAAAAAAAAATGTGGGAAAAAAAAAGAAAGACAAAAAAATAAACAAACAAAAAAAAAAGGAAAAGAAGCATGTGGTGTAAAAAAAGCTACATTATTTTTCCTATTTGTTTTAGAGTATTGTCAATAATAGTAGTTGATAGTTTTTTGTTTTATCTTAACAATTCTTTTTTTTATTTTTTTAAATTTTACCTTTTAATTTTATATTAAATCTAGAGTTAATAATTTAATTTTTATATAATTATTATAATATAAATAAATATTTTAGTATGGGGCTGATATTAAAAAATATCTTGGCAATGTAATATTGTCTACTATTTTTTTTTAATAGTTACATAAAAAATTATTTAAATTTTTTTGTTTTATTAAATTTTATAAAAGTAATTAATGTGAGTTTGATAAGATAATTTTGGTTATCTCATTTTGCAGGTGCAATGAGATAAATTTTTATAATAAAATTTAATAATATGATCAAAGTTGTAGTCTATTTTGTTTGTTTCTTCGAGGCTATTCTATGTAGCTTCGTCTGCTCGCTTGGCACCCTTGGAGGTTGATGCTCCTTAGTTTCACGGTCTGCGGCTCCGTCAAAGTAAGTAGCTACGAAAGGTAACTGGACGAGAGCCCCTTTCTCAAATAATTTATAGATCCAGCTGTCAAAGCCCACAACTCACATCTTCCACTTTACAACTGAAAAATGCTGCTTTGGGCTTTCTAGAGCGAGTGAATTTGGATGACCAGTTTCAATTCCTAGAGCCCAGTCAACGATGCACCCTTCCTGTGGCCGAGTTTGGTCTACAAGGTTTAGCAAGGTAGTAAAATGTTTTTAATTTATAGATATATTAAAAAATACTTGTTTTTTTTTAAATATTTTTAATATTAATACATTAAAATAATTTTAAAA